GAACCAATGTTTGTAACTCATTTTTAGTTGCATTTAATTCTTTATTCATCTCTCTTTCAACTTTTAAACTAGCTTTTAGATCCTTTATTGTAAATTCATGTTGTGACAGTAACGACTCTTGAGACAAGCATTTTTCTTTAAATTCTACTAAAATATTTGAAATATTTTTACATGACTCCTCTGATTCTTTCAAACATTTTATCAAATTCTTTTTCTTCTTGCAATTTATTCATTTCTGCATTTAATTCCCTGCATTCATTTATTAATGTCTTATTCAGATTTTCATATCCTTCTACTTTTAGTTTATGTATATTTTCATTTGCCTTTAATGTGTTCATTTGTTCTTGAGGTTTACTATATTTTGCCAAAGTTTTTATATATGTGTTTTATCAGTTGTATATTTTCCTTCATCAGTTTTTGAGGTACAGCATTAAAACGTGCAAGGGACGTATTATTTCATATCATTTTTTGATTATTCTTTTCATAGCAATATTTACTGTGCTGCTAGTTACTTTTGATAAATTAATTTTTGGTTTTGGCAAGCATGATTCCATCTAAACATAAAGATCAATTATTTGGATTAATGCAATAACAAAAAGAAACTACATACTTCAGAACATTTAACCAATATCCATATATGCAAGATCAATATTTCCAGTATTCAAACTACAATATCCATCATTAGACAAGCCCCCTTTTACTGTTCATGGTGCCCCAAATCACATTTTATTCAAAACAATAAAACAAACGTAGTTACTTCAGTAGTGCGTTACATAAAATTGAAAATATAACGAGCGATATAAACAAGTATCTGGCAAACAAATCTCGTTGTGCAAAAGGACACAAATAAGTCGCTCGTAGTTACACATTTATCAATTATTTGTTTTGTCACTTATAATTATAATTATAATTTGTTTTGTTATTGTTATTTATAATTATAATGTGAAATATTAAATAAAAAAAAATGTTACGAGCTGTCTTTCTTGTATATCTTCTTCTTCTTGTTTATTTTTTAATAAATATTTTGATGGTTCTGGTACGGCATTCCCTTTCAACCTTTTTCCTTCTATGCGTATTTTTTGTAGGACTTGGTTTGAACATTTCGGATAAAAATTGGTCAGCACAGACAGCCATGTTTCTTAAAGTGGAGCTGGCATAATATTTTAGGTTGGGAGTGCCTGTTAAAAGAATAGTGCATATAAATAGTAATAAAAAGTAATATAGATAAAAAGAGTAACAAGAGTATAAAAGACAAGGATAGAATGACAATCGAGGCTCGAAACTGAGATAAATTTAGAAGTCAGCATATTGTCGTAACATACAGAGCTATCCATTTAATTCGGAATCTATGCTCGCGAAGAACATTGAAAATGGCAACAATGTACATGTACATTTACTATTGCAATCAAATATTGCGAGCCATCTATGAGCTGTCCATTACTGATGTTAAATCTGTTATTTAAAAATACGTTTGGCTTCTTACCGTTCCAACATAAATAAATTCCGTTGTTTGTCGACTAGTTTGACAGACTCAGGCACTGCAATACGAGAGTTAAATTAATTTCTCTTTAAACTAGTCTAAATTCTGTGAAGTGTCTTGTTATATCTCAACCGTTTAGCTTGTTCCTTATCCTTACTAATAGAAAATGTTCAAAACGTTAGAAATGAAAATTACTAAACGAAATAGAAAAAGAGTCTCGATATTTGTAAGAATGTGAACAATTATTTTCATGCTTCAATATATCTGTCGGAGATATAGCAAAAGAGTCAACAAACACCGAAACCCCCTAATCACTGGACTACTTGATACGGCGGATCAGATTCGCAGGCTGAGGAGGCACTACCCGCTAAACCTAAACGCTGGATTATTTATAATATAAATACATATTACGTATAAATTATACTTATCTATAATAAGTTAATACTTATTATAAATAATCAGCCATGTCACTGCGCCACGCCAGAAAAATTACTGAAAATTCTCAACGCGAGAATTGTAATTTTAATAAAGAAATAAACAAAAAAATATATATCTGTTGGAGATAAAAGGACACCGGAGCCTTCCTTTTGGAACTTCGGGAAAATCCGTAAAATTGTGATTAACGTCTATAGCCGTAATTAAACAATTGCCGTCATTCTACCCAGTTGTATTTATTTGAGATTTGTGACAATGAGCTTGGGCTCAAGGCGACAATTAGTCGCCGAACGTAGCCTCGGTCACAGGACGAACGCTTTGTCTAACAAAGGGGTATGGAGTACCCTCATTAAAAGAAATATTTGTAAAGGTACTCTAAAGTAAACATTCCAACGATTCCTTCGGGCAAAATGATTACCAGATGTCGATGCACCTACACAGTAAAGGTTCAGCTAGCCTGAGGACCCGTTAGAAATCTTACGATTTTGTTAATTAAGGTTCTTCAAACGGACAAGCAGTCTTTGTCCCAATTATGGGAAGGTCGGAAACAATGCTTCCGCTAGCAACTTTCCCTCAAGGGCGGCTAGCATCCTTTTCTAGCCACCAACATGGAAATTGACCAATTAACAGCAACGTCAATTTCCCTCACTTTCCGAACGAAGGCGTTCCTCGACGAATCCGATCATCTCGTGCCCTTAGACACACCCCATCATAGTTTTCCTCTGGAGTATCATCGTGACGGAAAGTCATTCTCTCTCGTGAGGTCGTATTAGCGTCGTCTTTACGCTCGGTGGATATTCCACGTTTTAGCAAAGAGTTAGTTTAGTAATACTTACACTTACAGTGCCGGTTATAACAGTGCAAGAACTTACGACCATCGTGCGCGAGTTAATTCAGTCGCTAGTGCAAAAATCGAGTGTGAAACCTAACAATTTTTCGTCACCGCGTTTTAACCCTGAAACCGCGGGCTCCAACTCCGCTGCACGGTGCGCAGCTGTCAATCTGATTATGGAAGAAAATCCTTTACGAAGCAGTGCCCTGAATATAATTTCAATAACCAGCGTCGAATCGATTTCTACGTAGAGGAAGCATCAACTGGTAGATCAAGTCATCCGGGTGAGTCGTTTCCATTTTACTTTGATTTTGGAGCCGAGTGTTCACGAATTAAAGAATCTTGAGATTTTCTGGCAAAAGAACGATTGATGTAGCAGCAATGCGAGGAATAAGAAATATTTGTACTAAACGTACATCTCAAATCTTGTCCGTTGCAGGTATTAGTGGTTTTACATTAGAGATAAATTTTTCATGTCCTCGCTTATAGTTATTTAAAATACGATATCGCGATTGATCGTTAAATCTTAAGTCAAGGTTTTGACGTAATATTACACAAAATAGCCTCGCTGTGTAAAACAAAAATAATTAATGCCTGTAATAAAACCGCTGAAAACGAGATCGATGTTAATGAAGTTGATACTGATGTACGTGGTAGTGATAAAAGTCGATTAATCTTTCTTTTCGAAAATTCAAAGATTCATTCGTTACGGGTTTCCTATGTACTCGCGTAAATACAGGCCAGTTGGAAATACGATTAATTGATCCTAACGTCACTGTGCAAAGAAGCCCTTACAGACTTCGCGAGGAAGAGCGCAGAATAGTACGCGAGAGAATAGGCGAATTAATTAGAGCAAAATTTGTAAGGCCTAGCAATTCGCCGTTCGCGAGCTCTATGTTACTCGTGAAAAAGAAAGCTAATAAAAGCTAAAGAAAGCTAAATAAAAATATGGTATCCCTTACCCCTTATTGCTGATCAAATCGCGAGATTGCAAAACGCGAGATACCTTATTAGCCTGGACATGGCCAGCGGGTTTCACTAGATTCCCATTCATCCTAATTCAATAGAGTATACCTCGTTCGTTGCCCCCGATGGTCAGTGCGAATACGTGGCAATGCCGTTCGGATTGAGCCATCCGTTTTTCAGAGAGCCATTCTCAAGGCCTTAAGTGACCTCGCTTATTCGTATTTTTTTTTTTATTTATTTATTTTAGAATTTTACAATTTGTCCAGTAGGACATTTGGTAACATATGCTTATTCGTATGTCGTTGTTTATTTGGACGATGTTCTAATTATTGCCGACTCCATAGAACAAGCTCTGGAAAGGTTGCACATTGTATTAAACACCCTCGTAAACGCCGGGTTTTCTTTCAATTTCGCTAAATGTTCCTTCCTGAAGATGTCGGTACTCTATTTAGTATATGTAATTCATTTTTTTTTTTTTTTATTTGTTGAAATTACAATCAATTCTCGCGTTGAGAATTTTCAGCAACTTTTCTGGCGTGGCGCAGTGACATGGCTATTTATTTATAATAAGTTAATGCTTATTATAGATAAGTATAATTTATAAGTATTGTAAGTAAGTGCATATGCTTAATTTGGACAACTAAATGAATCTAGGCGTTTAGGTCTAGCGGGTAGTGCCTCTTCAATGTAATTCATAACGGAGAAGTCCGTCCAAACTCGGGTAAAATACAAGCCTTGAGTTCTTTACCTGCACCGTCGACCGTCACACAGCTTAGGCAATTCATAGGTTTGACCTCTTCCGAAAATTCATTCCTAAATTTTCACAAGTAATGAAACCCCTGTATGCACTTACTTCTAGTAGCAAGAATATAACTTGGACGGATAGGCACAAACAAATAAGACAAAAGGTAATTTCCGGTGCTAATGATATTGTTACGACCGTTCGCGGAGAGACGCGGTCGCTAGGAAAACGCGTCAGCGAGAGGCGTAAATTCTCGCTACGATTATGTTAATCGACGCCGCGAAATAGTCGTTCCCCTGTTTCGGTTAAGATAACAGAGATGGTTTAATGAATGTAACACTGTATTAACAGGTTAACAGAATAATATTTTACAATAATATGATGAATATGTTACAGAAATTTGACTCGACTTTGCGATATCTCCAGATAAATTCGTTTGCTCGTCAGATTCGTCGAAGTGTCACGTTAGACTCGTCAGAAGGAACTGAACGCCCTTCGATTATTCCTTTGTCTCATTTGGAAGACGACCCCCACTACGCTCGGGTCACGCCACCGCTCGCGCCTATGATCACGTATGCCTCTTCTTGTGTGAAAGACGTAACGGTCAAAAATTGACGTTTCTAGAGCTCGCTGCTTGGCGACAACTATGCTCTCGTCGATACATTGTATATGATCCGGCGGGCAGATAAGACGGTCTGCCTGCGAGGCTGTAGGACCGCGAGCGACGGTTAGAAAATACAGTCTGTGGTAAGCCTCGTGGCGTAACAGATATTTAATCCTAATTATTCGTTAGAACTATTGACGCTAGTTCGGAAGGATATGGGGCTATTTTAATGCATAAGATAGAAGGTAAAAATAGAGTAATCGAGTATTACGGTAAATGAACTAGCCCTGCGGAATCTAGATATCATTCCTACGAACTAGAAACGTTAACAGTTGCAAACGCCGTCAAGCATTTCCGTCATTATCTACACGGACGAGAATTTCTTGTTGTCACTAATTGCAATTCTTTGAAGACATCTAGTAATAAGGTACATTTAAATGACAGGGTTGCAGGTGATGGGCTTACTTACAAACTTTTAATTTTGACGTCATATATCGAGAAGGTAAACGAATGGCACACGTAGATTTCTTTTCGCGGAATCCCATATACACAACAGGCAAGTTAAGTGGTAAAAGTGATTTGAAAGAATGTTATTGTTTTGGTCGATGCTTTCACTAAATTCATATACCTGCATCATACTCGTAAAATAGATTCCCCTAATACCATCAAAGCGCTTCTGCCCGTCATACTCTTATTCGGCAGTCCCTGCCGGATAATAGCGGACCAAGAAAGATGTTTTACGGGCAAAGAATTTTAAGATTTTTTTCAAGATAGACACATTAAACTCCACTTAAGGGGGGGGGGGGGGTAAGGGTAAGGGGGGCTAAGGTTAATTCGTACAAAAAAAGGCATGTTTTTGTGAATTTTTTGTGACGACACAGTTAAAATCTGTTTTTTAAAATCAATAGTACATTAAAGTACGACATTTGAAGAATATTGTATTAAATTTTGACGGAGAGACAGCAATGACAGCAATTATTCGGACGTGTCTCGGAAAAAAGTATAATTGCGGTGCTCCTCATAACTTGATGCTGGATCATCTGAAATCAAAAAGTTAAAGTTCATTCGTTAGGTAATAGTTTTCCCCAGATAACGCTGCGAGGGTTTTTCGAAATTTCAATTTTTCACTTTTTGGAACACTTTGAAGGGAAAAACGCGATTTTGTGCGAAAATTTGCGGCTAATTTGTTGTTGTAAAATAAAAATAATTAACAAATTTGAAAAAACTCTGCAGCGTTACCTCGTAAATTATGTACAGACATGGTGTTCAAAATTTCAAAAGTATCGGTGTAGTAGTTTTGAAGTTATCAGGGTCACCGACTTTGAAAATGTGAGTTGTGGGGAAAACGCTTTAAAGTTTTGAACACTAAAAAATCT